CCTGCTGACCTCCTTTTAGGTGCTGGGGAGCTGGTGTTAGGTTCCTTCCGAAAGCTGTCTCTGCCCCAGGCTGAACTAGCCCTCCTCCTTCAGCCCCTCCAGGGTGAGTGCTGAAGCCCTGACCATCTAAGGGGCCCTCCGCTAAACTCACTTCAGTTTATCATCATCTTTCCTTTAGTGGGGGATCCAAAACTGGACATGATACTCTATAGATGGAGTCTAATGAGTGCCAAGTAGGGAGGGGATGATCGGTTCCCTCCATCTCCTGGCTCTGCTCCTGGTCACACAGCCCAGGATGTTGTTGGCCCTCTTTGCTGCCAGGGCACTCTGCTGGCTCACACTCAGCTCCCTGTCTGCCAAGATGCCCAGGGGCTTTTCAGCAAAGCTGCTCCCCCCAGTCAAGCCCCAGGCAGCACTGCCGCAGGGGGCTCGTCCTTCCCAGGTGCAGGACCTTGCACTTGTCCCTGTTGACTTTCCTAAGGTTCCTGTCAGCACATTCCTCCAGCCTGTCTAGGTCCCCCTGGGTGGCAGCCCTTTCCTCGAGTGTAACAACTGGCTCTGGCATTATGCAAGTGCTGTGAATTACTGAATTGTCAACAGAGTAAATAAACCACAGAAAGCAAGCAGATTCTCCCCCTTCCCATTTTTAATCTCTTCCATTTGCTGAATACTTGGAGGTCTACTTGTAGCAGTAGAGCAGAAAAAAGAAATGTGTAGGCTTAAGTATAGTATTTAAATTGATAGCATAATCCTAAATTTGTATTGGCCCAGCTGCTTTCTCTTCTAAATGGGGAAAAATATGTGATCTGGGATCATGGTATTGGAGGAGTTAGAGCTGGAAAATACCTGACAGGTCATCCAATTCATGCATAATGCAGGATTTCTCTGACCAGTACATTTTCTAATGTGTTGTGTGTGTGCAGAAGTGTCAAGTACTGGGGTTTCCTTCAATCCCTTGGAGGGTAACTGCATCTTACCATGAAGACATTTTTCCATTTTACTCAACATAAGTGTTTCTTTTCTTAATTTCTTCCTATTATTCCTAATTATCACTTGTGTCATCCCTAAGCAACCCAGCCGTTGGTGATTATGTGGTAAATATTGTAAAATTGTATACTTAACTGGGGTTTTTCTGCTATAGAATTCATAGCCGGTCAGTTGAATTTTTGCCATTAGATGTCACTACATGTACAGCAGACTGTTTTTAAAAGACTTGATTTTTATTTAGCGTCCCAGAAAAATGGAGGAGGGAATTGGGAGATGTAGGAGAGAGTCTGGTAGTATGCTTTGAGATAACTACTTCTTAAATAGTATGTTGGCTATGCCTTTACTAAAAGCAGCACAGAAGGAAACATAAGATTTTTGACTTAACTCCAACAACCAACAGATGATGCTGTGACCTTAAGCATATATAAATATGTTTAGCAGCTGCTGTGTAACATATTTATAAGTGTTTAGTGACCTGGAGGTTAATCAAAATGAGTTTGGTGATCTCAGCTCAGTTCTTAATGGACTCCACTTCATATTATAGCACTGATGCAGCACAATTTGTCACAGTTGGCAGTCTTTACTCAAAGGAGGCCCACTGTGGAGTGAGAATTAAAGGCTGAAGTAATACCTGATTATTTCTCCCTAAAGAAACTTTCCATTCCAAGCCATCATAGAGCAGAATAATATGTGGAGGAGCTCTGTACTGCACGCTGCACCCAATCTCAGGATAACATAACGTTTACTCTTACAGGATGTCTCCTTTCAGTGTTACTGAATTAGCTCACGCATGCTGCGGTCAGAGCTTTTAAAGGGGACCGGGGAAGGACAAAGTTCTGCCAGGGATGGTGCTGAGTCTTTTCACTTGCTGGGCTCTTTCCAGAGATCGAGAGCTGTGTCGGTTCCAAGTGCGGCATTACCTGGGAGGATGAAAGGGAAAGGTATTGCCTTGCCAGATGAAATTCTGGAATTAAGTTCTGTTTTCAGGTCTTTCTGGGTACACAAGCAATTTTTTTAGACTTCAGTTCTTTTCTTGCTGTCCTGGCCAAAGCTAGTATATTCCTTTTATTTAATTTCCACTTTCCGTCTAAACTGGAAATAGTTTCCTACTTTTTGATTTAAAGCTGTCGTACAGCAGTATGCTTTCATGAGCTGCAGCTGAGATTGATGTCCATAGTGGGTAACATGAAATGGGTTGTACCTCAATTTGAGACAATGAACAGCCCCACAGCTTAGAAGATACACATGCTATAGAAAGTAATAGTATTGAAATAGTAGGTAAGGACCGGTTTGAGCTTACGTGCAAGGTGCGTATCTCCTGTGTATTTTTAAAGCAAAAGAAGGATATTGGAGAGATAGATACCTATAGAGACTCCTGTCTTTTCCAGAATCCCAGCCTTACTCCATAAAAGAACCTTTCAAAATCTATTACTTCTTTTTCAAAGTGTAAATAATGCACTTGCACACTTTCTTCATCTTAACTACTAACTTTACCCAGTAACGGAAAGCATCTCACTTACCCAGCATAGAAGGAACTTTTCAGTTAACTGCGTTTGTTGAAGTATAGCAATTTTGAGCTAAAAAGGGGGGGTGAGGGTGTTTTAAGATACAGTACTTACATAAGAAAAGCTTGATTGTGTGACTGAAACCTTTTAAAGTTGTTGCCAAATGGTCTTGCTCTTCTCTTTTCCCTTTGTAATTTTCCCTTGGAGCATTGCACCACTGTGCATTTTAAATCTTTTCCCTCCACTACTCATTTCAAGCTTCATCAGGGAAATGACATTGTATCGCAGTTGTCTCCTTCATATCAAAAGAAAGCCTGTGCCTCTTTACAAGAGTGAAGAAAAGTTTGTCTTCAGAGAGCAAAGGACAAAACTGACTTGGAAAAAGATGCTTTATTTAGATAACACGTTCTCTTTTCCTTTGAAGAAATTCACAATGTGTCAAGAAAAATTAGGCCAAATAGTGCTTTAATGGTCTTCCTCCTGTACCTCCTAAAAAAGAAATCTGTTTCTACTGATTGCATTAAGAATGTGCCATGAGTTTGGAGAAGACAAGAAGCCACTGAAGTTATTCAGGGCTGTTGGTTTGGGGGGGTGTCTGTTTTGTTTGAATACTGTATAATAATGAAAAGTAGAATTTATACCAAAACTCCATCTTATTACCAGGGCATGCAGCTTTCCCTGTCTGTAGGATAAAATTAAATGCTTTGTTCTTTGAGAGAAAAAAAAGCTGACAGGTACCAAAGCTATGTAAAGGGGTGGTTGCTTCCTTTCTTGTCTCCTTTATTTGGAAAAACAGCATAAATTTACAGGGGGTACATTGAAGAAACAGGTCTGAGTTTTGTATTTTCCTATGTAGGCTATGAATATAGAAGTAAGTATATTTTTGCATGTGTTTATATGTGTAAGTCTATATCCATATACATATCGTAATACGTGCAGTCTTCAACTATACCAAGAAAAAGTAGACAACTGTATTACGGATTAAAAGAATAAAAGGTTATTTTTGAAGTTGGATCAAGCATTACTTTGGGTTATTGCTTATTTGGATTGGATTCTTCCTTGTGCCTTAGTTTATCCATAGAATTTGATAAATCAAGTACAAAGTGTACTTAGATACTTTTTAGAACTTAAAAGTAGGTTTAGCCTTCAAAAATACTTGGTCTGAAGATCTTCACATCTGAAGATGTGGAGAATTAGGTAAGGGCTTCGTTCAGGGCAGTTTTTCAGACAAACTTCAGTGCCAGTTATGAAAGCATTATACAGATATGTGATTAATTTTCAAAACCAAAATAGTTCTGCTGAGGTTTCTTGTTTCAACAAAGTATATTATGTACGTGGTCTTTTGAAAGAGTGCACGTAGATGGCATGTACACAAGATGAGCATTGTATTTGATGTGATAACATCAGATACAGAAATCTGAAACAGATTCTATCGTACCCATTTTTATTCTGGTCACTTCACTGTTTTTTAAGCCATGGCAGCTAAGGATTTTGATTACATGGTCAAAATTGACATTCACTGGAATTTTTTTATGCCAATGCTATGTTCTAATTATGACTCCTGATCACATTGCTGTCTACTCATAGGATAATTAATGAGAGTTGTATTTTTCTGCTGATTGGTTGTGACGTATAAAGACACTGTATATGTCTCTTGAAATTTATGTTCAGTCCAATTCTGTCTCAGATATACGGTAACTAATTCAAGACTAATTCAAAGCTCCCCATATAGGTAAAATGAACTAATTGCGTGCCTTCTCCTTAGCTATTTGCAAACAATAGGAGATGTACTCTGTGACAAACCACAGCATCTTCAGCAACAAGGTAGGTAATGAGACATCGTGTGTGTGCTCTTTCTTTTCATAGGCAAGGCAATTTTCCTGCCATGAATCAGAGCGGTATTATGGGATCCAGCTCTCCCTACACTCAGCCGATGAACAACAGCTCTGGCTTGATGAACCCGCAGGCTCCTCCTTACAGCATGGCACCTAACATGGTGAACAGTTCAACAGGTAATGGTGGGTAACCTTTCAGCAGTGGCTTTCCTCCATAAATCTCCTTAACGGTACCAGCCCCGGGCTGGCGGCACAGGGATAGCCTTCTTCGTTCGATTCACCCCTGTTGGGTAGTTTGGAGTGATTTGAAACTAGGCGAAGGTATTCACGTTTTTTTGCACAGTAGCTCATACATTTTTCATTAAATCCTTTTGCACAGCATGTAGATGAGTACAATGTTTTGAACAGTTCCAGCAACACTCGGACCCAGTTTGACATAGCTGTTGACTAGCAAGTATATGTATATTTGTGTGTGTGTGTCTGCAAGGAGAGAAACCTCATCTTTTGAGAAGCTGCTGTTGCTTTTCAGTGTCTTACTTCCTAAGATTGCAATTTCAGATATTTAACGTGGTACTGGTTTAAAAAAAGAGATGTGCACCTGCTCTGACTTGAAGATGCTGTAAGTTGAGCACTTAAAATAATTACTCTGTTCTGAAAACATAGGCCATATTTACTGTTTCCGAAATTCATATAACCATATATAGGGTTTCTTCGTTTACTTATTTAAATATCAGTATACGAAATTTAATCATAGCTTCCTTTCGCAAAAAAAAGCATATTCAGTGTAGCTGCTGGATGACTTGTGAATTTAGAATTATTTGCAGCTTTGTGTGTGACTGTGAAGACAGGTGAATGTAGTTCTGTGGAAATGGGCTTTATAGTCCATATTCAGCTTGAACTCCTAACAATTATCCTCCATCAAGATAATACTTCAGTAAAGATCAATTCTTTGATTGGGGTGGGTTTGGATGGAGCTTCAATGACCCTGAAGTGGATCCTTCCAAATACTTATTCCAGTCATGGAGTTTCTGTGCATGCTTTACTGATTACATTAGCGCTTTTTGAAATGTTGGGGTTTTTGAAGTTTTTCTGAAAGCTGGACAGGGTGTGCTGAGGGAATTTGATGATGTTTCTTAGTTGGTTTTGTTTATACTTTTGTTTATTTCTTTAGAGATGCCTTACTACTTAAATTGTATCTTACCAAGAGCCTATGTTTCGGTATCTTCCTCTCTGCCCCACTTAGCCTGTTCCGTTCGTTCATCCTTTGCCTCCTTCCCTGTCTTTCCCCCCGTCAATTTTAATGTCCCTGCTTCCTGGGCAGAAAATGGCCACTGTGTGATTCTAGTCTCTAGTAAGTCCAGAGGGTTTCTTTCCTCTACGTAGGCGCTCCTGAGACACTTAACAGTGTCTTATTTTTCAAGAATATTATGTTATGGTTCTGGTTAGCAGAAGAAAGAGAAAGGAAGCTGTTAATCAGTAAGATTTTTAAAAAAGAAAAGAAAAGAAAAACCAAAAAAAAAAAAAGCCTTTTTCCAGTGCTGGCTTGGAAGCCATTGGTTAGTCCAGACAGCACACTTGACACATCAGTCTGGATGAAGAGGGAAAAGCTATTGAACAGACCATTAGATAATAGCTTGCTTTTCCCCCACCAGAGCTGTCCCAGGTAATATTATGTTTTGTTTGTGTAGTTATGTGTTTTGTCTGGCTTGCTGAAATAAAATTACTTCTGAGCATTGAAACTGTGCTATAAATTCTGTTTTGCTATTAGCAGAAGTAATTTTTCCCCCTTTTCCTTTGGCCCCCAGAGCTGCAAAAATAACCAACAGCAAACAGATGGCAGAGTGCCCTGCCTAAGAAGATTTATGTATTCCTAAGGAATAACCAGTTTAAAGGAAGATTCACAGAGGTTTTTTTGTTCAGATAATTCAGCCATTCGTTATTTCATACAGTGGAAATCTGTTCAATGCAAGGCCATTTATCCTAGCAGTCTTTTGTATGGGGTAGTCATACTCTTTTTATTGTGTTATGCATTCTGAAATATTGGATTTTTAATAATTTAAACATTTATCAGGGTTTTTTTCTGCCAGTGCATTTGTGAGGTTTTCTTTTGTTCCAGTTTTATTAATTCAAAGATTACCCAATGGAAAGTAAGTATGAGATGAACTAGAAGAGTTCAGTGCACCTCTTTTCCTCTGTGTGTGAGCAGACGTGCATCGAGATTGCTTTATGCAGCCAGCCTCCGAGAGCACACAGACGGTGTTGGTACAGGGGGAACAAAAAGACAGAATTAGGTGTGAATATACTGGGAGGCACATGCAGTGGGAATGCTGCATTTCTCCCTATCCTGACACCCTTCTGCTTGGGTCAAAGAAATGAAGGGCTGAGCTTAAGACAAGCATAAATGCGGTACTTAAAATGATAATGTCTTGAGCTGGGGGAGCACTTCAGGGTCAGCTCTGGCCCTGCATTTGATGAGGTGGAGAACTTGCAGGTGATACCTACCTACAGGCTTGAAAACGGCATCTTCTGTGACACAAAGACCAGTTCAGCTATCTGGCTCCTGAGCCCCCCGCCTCCCCCCCCGCGGTGTAAGTCACACATCTGTCGGATAAACCAGGGTTCAGTCAATGTGTAGGACCAAAACCAAATGCAGCTGAGTGGCTGCTGATGGAGTGAAGAGTGGGCATTAGTTAACTTGCTTACATGCACTGAGCGTGAGCAGCTGTGGTTTCAGTTAGAGCCCAATGAAAAACTTCGGTAAGCGATAGGGAAAAGTTGGTTTCTTGGTTGTCTGGGTTTTGGAGAGTGCAGTTGTGTTGCCTGTTTTGAGGGAGGAAGGTAGGTTTTGGTTATATTCATTTTAATCAAATGCACTTTGAGGTTTTACTCTAAAATAGAGGAAGATTGCTGATGCTGATGGAATTGTTTTCATATGGTTTTGGAACTTCAGTACAGCTAAGTATAAAACTGGTTTTGCCACACAGTTTTAGTAGCATTTATAACTCCTTATTAACAGTTGATCCCTTTTTTTGCTTTAGTTTTTTTAATTAATGTCACAATTGAAAGGAAAATCGTGTTGCAGTTATGCATCCTAGTACTTCAACAGTGACTGTGGATCAAACAACAGATTGCCAGCTTCTGCTGATGTAGAGCAGTTCAGGAACACAGAAATTATGAGATCAAAGAAGACAGATACTTCTGATACAGTATCCCATCCATAACAATAACAAAAGCTTCAAGAAAAAGTGGCAGAATCCCTTCACAATTATGGAACAAACTGCCATTCAGAAAAATTGTATAACCTCCACTGTCCTTTTGTTATATGAATTCACATTTCCCATATATATTTTAGATTTTTCCCCCCTATTTTTTAAATTCAGGCTTTAAAAATATATATAATAAAAGGAAACTTACAAAACCCAACATAAATAAAATAATAATTTCATGCTGTGAGCCTTGTTAATTCTGGTGAAAATTTTTAAAAAGAAGTAATATGGAGTTTGGATCTCACAGATTTCCATATTGTGCTTGCACAGAAACTGGCACTCATCATCTCTGCTACCTCTGGAGTGAACAAAAACAATAAAAAAGCACTAATCTCCCTACCGCCACAAGGATCCTTTCCTAATTTCACTACCTCTGTCCTACTGAAACCTTCCATTATGTATTATATATATTTGACTTTGTATTTCTTTATATGAACCTCTGATAGAGAAAGCAATCATATTTAGGATGTGAAGTGTTTTTTAGAAATCTTAATTGGTTTTCTCTGGTTTGTAGCTTGGTTACCTTTTTCTGAAATATAGAAACCTCCATTTCTTTCACTTTTTTTTTTTTCTCTAACGCATATCTTCATATAAGCTATTATATAATGCACATTTAAATAAACTTTCTGGAGGATGTCAGCAGCTGGTAACAGCTGAAGTATCCCATCACCTATACTCCAAACAAGCAAGGACCGTGACCCAACGGTCATTGCGTGACTGCAAATCAAGGCAGCTCCTGGCATAGAGATGCCCATGTCCCAGACCGCATGCACTTGTCATCGCTCGGACCAGACTTGGTGGGCAGAAAGGAGGTGTGGCACTTGTCGCTTTCAGATAAGGTGCCCGAGCACCCTGGGCTGTGCTTTTCCCCAGAGGCGGACAGTCATTCGTGGCAGGACATTAGGCGATGCTGTTGTCCCTCTTCTGTTTTTCCTGTGGGCATAAAAGCAGTGGGGATCCTCTTGCCACTCCACGAGTCACAAATTTGCTGCATTTTCTTTCTCTCTCTTTCTCTCTCTCTCTCCCTCTCTTTTTTTTTTTTTTGGAGGGAGAGTGCTGGGGGTGGAGGGAAGGAAGGAATGTCTTACAAAGGATGTAATACTGTTTTGTAGAGTGTGATTTGTTATTGCACCAGCAATAAAGAGAAAAACAATGTTTGTGTGTTGCTGCTCCTACAGTATTTCATCATCTTTTGGGACTGATAGAGCAGCCTTTAGCAAAAAAGAATACTTTGCTGCAGTTTTACTCATGTCAATATCTGCCTTTGAGTACATTAAATTCAGTGTGGCATAGTTAATTCAGGACCATGACCCATACTTGCTTTTGGAAATCATTCTAGCTCTTAAATTCTTATAATAAGCCAGAGGCTAGTACTTGAAACCTATTCACAGTGTGCTACAACACTTTTTGAGTCAAGATTTCCCTGTTATCCTCCTCTCTAAAATGTTTTATCCTTTGGTCTGCACTTCAAACGCAGAATTATTAGTACCTGTGTAGAAAGAGGCCGTGTCTTATTTTAGCAGTTTCGTGACAATAACAGTATTTCACTGCTCAGAAAGGGTCAAAAAAATGTTCTCGCTGTACCACTTTGCTAAAAAAAGTGAAGGAATGTCTGTTTGCAAATTGCTGGAGAGTACGTTTGCAAGAAGTTATGAAACAGCATTTCAACAGTGGATGGAAAAGTAGCTGTGGAAACATCTTAGGTAAAAGCTACAGGGAAAACAGACAACCTTGCAATTTGCTAGGAAAATCCTCGCAGTTCTTCTCTTATAGGCAGAAAGAAAAGATGTAGATGAAGCAAATAATTTAGAACAAAAAATGAAACAGAAGTTGGGAAACTGTTGTTTTTTTCATAATTGTCTCCAGCTCCTGATAGTTATATTTGTATATGCCAACAAGAAGTATTCAAAAGCCAAAATTAATTGGTATTTTTACATTTCGAAACATGATTAATACAGTCAGAATAAGTGTGGTAATTTGCAGACTAGAGTTACTGGCCCTTTACATGAGGTGTTAACTTAAACCTCTCTGGAAAAGAGGTTTTATAAAGGTATTCTGATGGAATCAGGACTACCAGGAGTGGGCACAATTATTATCTTCTTTGTAATAGAAATATGATGTGCCAAGCCAGATAACAGTGAGATATCAGCAGAGGATTTAGCCATGCAGAATTCTGGTAAAGAAGCATGATTGTTAATTTTGCTTTGTTTGACCTCTCTAAAATTGCTTTAGAGGAGAAGGGTCATCTTGGGTTGCTTTGAAACTAAGACTAAGACTTCTTTTTTAGCGTTTTCACAGCATGAAATGTGTTAACTGTTAAAATGGATTTTGTATAACAGTTCTGCATCCCAGTTTGAAACCAGACTGTGGGATACATTCGACCATTTTGTATGTATATTTTTAAAAAATCTCTAAAAGAAAAATAACTGCTTTTTTAACTGTGGAATTCAAAACTAAAATGTGTTAGGCTGCCATCCTTCACTTCATAATGGTCACAAGCTGCCCCAACTCCTCAAACAGAGTATAAGGGCAAAATGCATATAAATTAAATGCTTAGTGGATGCTGGCTTCCCAGTATCATGTTGCTTGGCTGTTTTGTTGAGGTTTCACACACATACATAAAAATAACAGCATTTTTAGCTGATCCCAATAGATTTTCCTCTGCAGCTGCATCACTTGAAAAAGGCTTTTTGTTCCAATTCTTGAAGTCTTAAGTATTGCAAGTAATTTTTTATTTTTTTAAAATCTCAATTATGATTTATGTGTTGTGATGACTTTAAGGGCTTGATTGGGCTACAAATGTGCTTTGAAAAAACAAGAAAATGTGCCCATGAAAAACACCGGCAGCTCAAAGCCGAATATTGAGCATACAGTTGTAAACTCACATGGCACATGGCTGGGTAGGTTTTTTTGGCAGACCCATAGTCTCAACCTGCAGTGATGCTAAAGATATTAGCAAATTAGCACTGCAAAGCTTGCCAGCATATTCGCCAGAGTCCTGCTCATGCTCTCACTGCTGTAATTAAAACTAATTATTTTCTAAAACATAGTAATACATGAATATGTGCAATAATCATTTTGTAGTGGGCAATCTGTGAAGTATTTTTAAAGCTTCTTTTCCCCCTCCTCTCTTTGGCTTGCTATGCAGCGTGCCTGCTGCCTGGTGCGAGCCAGCATTGTCATTTTGCAGAGAGGCACGCTAGTCTGGTAATGATCAGATTTTAAAATTTTTTTTTTAACAGTGATGCTTTGCCAGTTCTTACAATTTGTAAGTTTGGGATACGTATTTTTTCCTTTTTATTGCCTTGTAGGTTATTCTGTCCTATGTTTTTCTTACCTCAGATCCTTCTTTGAAAGAAGGGCATGAGGGGGAGAAAAAAGGGAGAGGAAGGGAAGATAATCCAGTCTTTCCCAAGTGCTGTGCACATGGTTTTCTGCAGGGAAGGAATCACCTGGTGTCTTGCTGTTGTTCTCTGGTTATTTGCATTGATTCAGTGTCATGGCACCTTCTAGCATCTGATCTGCCCAGTATTTTCTGTCTATTTATCTGAATGTTTCTTCTTGCATCTTTCTAGAAATCCAGGAACCCAGCAGCTCTGCAGCAATAATACTATACTTAGCACTTGCATCTTCAAATAAAAACCCCCCTTAAACTCTTCACACCCCTGGGAAGCAACTGCGTGCCATTATCAGAGACAGACATTTGTGCGTTCGTTATTGTCCCACCTCATTTCGGCAGGAGGGGAAGAGGCTGAGTGCCGGTTCTCCAGCAGAGTGGGGTTTACAGCTTCTAATTCTGTAGTTAAGGCCCACAGTGGCTGAGCCATTCATACTGAAGTTGGTAGGGGCAGGAATTACCTGCTGGACGCCAACCTTAATACAGATGTAATTGGGAAATTCAGCCTGTTTCTCAGATTCGATATTGCAAGTGAAATGCACATCATTTTCATCTATGTTTGTCTGTTGCTAAAGGGAAAGTGCAGTAGTTACTAAAATAGACTGTTGTTCTGTTAAAATGTAGTGGTCAAATATGGACACAGTTGAAGACCACCAGCAGGATGAAGAATGAACTCTGCTTTGTAAAGTGGCTGTTGCTGTTGTTGCGTGGTGCTTGTATTCTCACCTCATTCGTTCTCTTTTATTTCCTCGCTTCAACTGAAGAGGTTTCCAGGTTTCCCGACGCTAGAATAGCAGAACAGAGGTGGGGTGACCTCTGCTTCACGTGGCGCCACAATCTTGCAGCAGGGATCGTGTTTTTTCCTACAAAGCCAAATATAGTCATGCTTAACTGTTTCTCCTGTTTTCGATTAGCACCTATGGGTCTTGCAGATATGATGACACCCGGTGAGTCCAAACTACCCCTTCCTCTCAAAGCAGATGGCAAAGAAGAAGGACCCCCCCAACCTGAGAGCAAGTCAAAGGTATTTACCACCTCCGCACGTGGTGTTGGTTCAGCCCGCAGAAGTCTGCTGTGTTGTCCTTCATCTTCTGGTTTTGGCCTACCCACTTCTGTTCTTTCCTGCATGCCTTTCCATTCACGTGCAATCTCTTTGTTTGTTTCTTTTTTATTTCTTTTTTCCTTCATTGTGTGGATCTGAAAGTTACTAGTTCTTATGGCATTTTAACTTGCGGGGGCAAAGCAACCCAAGCCAAAAGTTGCGTGGGGATTCAGCTGTGCCAGGTGGGTGGGAAAGAAGGGTCTTGCCTGGTTTCAATACTTGCAGCCATTTTTCTCTGCCTTCAGTTATAGCTTCCTGTTTGGCCGCCTCAGCAGCAGCAACATACTTTAATATTTTGCTTTCCTGCCTTATTTGATAAAATAAGGTGAACAGCTTGTTTTTTTTTCTTTCTTTCATAAGGGGAAACCCATGCTTAGCATTCCATGTGAGCTTGAAATAAGCATGGTGGCTTAGTGACTTTAGCCAAGCATCCAGCAAACTTTCCAAATTATACTAATTAACAATGTTGTTTTAATACCTTTTATATATATATA